ACCATTGTTCAGCATTTTGATCTTCACAGGTTTATACCAAAATAAGAGTAAAACCAAGAAATCTTACTAGATTGCTTCACAAATACTGTTTTTACTTCGCTGTGCCTTTTGTTTGTGCTGATTCTGGGAAATGAACTCAAGCCCTAGGTCCTGCCCCTTAGCTTTTTAACTCAAGGCCACTTGAGCCATACGTCTACTTCAGGCATTTTCCTGGTTTATTGGAGATTCTTTGTTAAAATGTTTTATTTATTATTCCTGGAGATTCTTATCTCCAATAAAGTCTAACAGACTTTCCTTCCCAGACTGGTTAACTGTAACCCACAGATATCAGCCTCCAGAATAACTAGGATTACAGCCATGAGCCACCAGTGTTCAGCCTTCTTTGTGGCTTTTTAATAAACATATGGGACTTAGCGAGTTAAAGTACACCTTACTCATTAGTGTAAGTCTGGCTATAAGTCCCATCAACAGTATGAGTGGATTGGTACAAAAAATTCCCTAGTGTTCTGGAGGTGCCTTTAGGCTGCAGAGGAAGATAGGGCAGGGCTACAGATAACGGAATCAGAGGAGCTCCGCTTGACTTCTTTAAAACAGGATATTACTGCTAAAAGCCTTGAACTGCCAGAACTATAGACAAGTCTTTTTTTTTCTTTTGGTTGTTTGTGGGGCTTGAACTCTGGGCCTGGGTGCTGTCCCTGAGCTCTTCAGCTCAAGACTAGTGCTCTACCTATTGAGCCATAGTTCCACTTCCAATTGTCTGGTGGTTATCTGGAGATAAGAGTCTCATGGACTTTCTTGCCTGGGCTGGCTTTGAACAGTGATGCTCAGATGTCAGCCTCCTGAGTAGCTAGGATTATAGGCGTGAGCCGCAGTGCCCAGAATAGGCAAGTCTTTAATGGTAATTATCATAATATTCAAAATCTTTGGCATTTAAGTGTGATATCCTTATTTGCATCTTTATTAACCTGACTATTTAATTCTTCAAAATAAGTATGTAGCCCACTATCACTTCCTTTATTTGAAGCACACCATCCAGTCATGGCCTAAAAAGTCTAGCTGGGCTGCTTCAGCTGAGGAAGCAATGATATATAAGGACTCTATGCAAAACTCAGTTTCGTTATGTAATATATGAGTTGAACCAGGTTTTACCAAAACAATATAAATTAAAAAAGAACTTACATGAGATACCACTTTAAAACTCATACTAATTTAGAGAATTTGTATTACTTAATCTAAATACAGGTAAGTATATAGTCAAAGTCATTTTGCTCTAATTTTTATAGCTTGTGAACAAATATAATTGTAGTATTTAAATAAAAAGAATGAAAACATATATATATATATATGCTTATTTTTAGTAGTCTGAGTAGTTGGGGTTATGAAGTAGAAAGTAGAATTATATTTTAGACGGGAAGACTGGCAGTCACAAAGCAACAGGTTCACAACATTTCAAAATACCTAATATTGTGTTAATAAAATGAAAGACACTTTCTGAAAATAGGTTGAAGAACAAAGAAAAACATACTTTGATAGCATCTTTGGCATCTACCACAGCAAGATCTCGAAGGGCCCAAGCAATCTGCCTTTTATAAAAATCTCCCTTGTCAGATTTCTTGACTTTGACCACTTTCACTTGAACTGGTCGTTCAGTTGTCACTGTTGAGCAAACACATTTTCATTAAAAAAAAAAAATATATATATATATATATATATATGTGTGTGTGTGTGTGTGTGTGTGAGTGCACACATATACATACATATATATGTATTATGTAAAATCAGTCACTTATTTTTCATTCACTCATTGCAAATATATCTTCCAACTGCCTGGTGCTGTAATGTTTCATAACAACTGGACAGTAAAATTCACAGAATCCTACAAAAAGCATTTGGATCAGACTAGACTCTCAGCAATTCTACATTTTAGTTTTACCCTAAAAACATTCTGGCTTATGGATAGGATATAAGACAAGTATGTTCTTAGAAATTCTGTCTGAACAGCAAAACCTAGGAAAGACTAATGTTCATGCTTGGGAGAATTGGTATGTGAATTATGGGACATTCATATGGTCAAATATACCATAGCAGTCAACAAGAAAGAATTAATAGCTCTATGAAAATCATGACTAAGAACATAACACTGAGTGGAAAAAAATATATGCAGTATATATGCAGTATAATTCAATTTATGTAAAGTTCAACAACATGCAAAACTAGACAACATGTTCCTTGGAATAGGTAATGGGATAAAAAAAAGCAAAGGGTGGGAGATGGAAAGGGGGAAAAAATGAAGGAGGGGGAAAACAAGTTTGACAAGAAATGTATTCACTACCTTACTTATGTAACTAACCTCTCTGTATATCACCTTGACAATAAAATTAAAATAAAATACATTATACAGTTAAGAAAAAAAGAAAAGATAAGAAATACTAATTAAAATTTAGGATATCAGATACTTTGTAATAGCAGATGAAGGGGAAGGGGATCAAGAAAAGGCACACAGTACACTTCAAGGGAATGGAACAGTTTTATGAAACTGAGTGGTATATGCAAGTGCTGCTCTATCATCAATCTTTACATCTTAGTTGTATGCCATAGATATATTTTGTAACAACTCACTATTCAGTAAAACAAAACTTAATGTAGATCCAACAAATTTTTCAATAGTAGACAAATAGTAACCTAAGCTGGTCTTGAGCTTGCTACATAGATGTGTTTCACCAGGTCTGGCTAGGAATATTTTTGAAAGAAAGGAAATGTCTCCTAAGGAATAAAAGAATGCCAAACAAGTATTTTTTCTTCTAAATACCAACCTGTAGCACATAAAAAGCAGTTCTTTTTCTTTTTTCCTGCTTTGCACACATTGACTATGCTCAGCAGGCGTTCATCGTTTGGTGTAAAAATATCTCTCTGTAAAGCGTGCTTGATTGCTGTCATCTTTTCTCAGCTGTAAAAATTCAGAATACAGATGCTCATTCCCAAAGTCATTCCACTTTATATTTACTGTCCTTTTTCTGATTCATAAACTGTAATTTTTGGTTAAGATACATAGGAAAATGACTTAATATATTAATATACCCACATCATAAACTATAAAGCTGTAAATTTGGAAATAAAATTAGAGGATTTTAGAATCTTTGGAAATCCTAACCATTCTTTCTCGAGCACAGATTTAAGAAAAAAATTAAGCCTATGCTCAATCTTTAAATATAATTTCCTATATATTTTCTACATAGAGAACACATACAACTCAACAAAAAGACAAATAATCCAATTAAAAACTGAATAAAAGCTATGAATAGGCATTTTCTGGATGAACAAAGAGTCAATGAGTCACAGAAAGATGTTCAACCTCATTAATCACTAAGGAAATGCAAATAAAAACCACAGTGAGATACTTATTGCTTTATACTTGCTAGAATGACTAAAATCAAGAGGACACACAATAACAAGTGTTGAAGATTTGGGGAAAGAAGGCACACATGTGTCTGAGAGATGATCTTCAGGGAATTAAGATGGACAGAGTGGTATTTTCCCTGTGACCTGAGCCACTACAGGAAGCCTAAAGTCTGTGGATTCCTATCCAGGTGCACCTGAGGAAGGAAGCAATGCCCATCCTAAAAATAACCAGTGAAAGTATGGCTAAATGTGTGGCTTAAGTTGTAGAGCCACCAGCCTAGCAAACTTAAGCCCCAAAGTTCAAGCCAAAAAATAAAAAAGTAGTTCTTTGTAGGATTGTACCTTATCTTTTGTTTTTCTAGACCATAGCAAAAGGCATATAGTTAGTATTTAATAAATGTCTAAGTGAACTAACAGGATCCCAATAACATAACAGGTATAGTACTATCAAGATTCCCCCTTTCCAACTCTCAGATCTGTAAGCAAATACATAGGTTCCTTCCACCATTGCCAACATGAAACTTGTTATATTCTAAAATTTCCTCCTATATATATAATTTAATTTTTCTTTATTTCTATTATCAACACATTAACTAAAGTGTCTATCAATTTTGTGATAGCATCTGATTATCTTTACAAGTTTCCACAATCCTGTAAAAACAACCAAAAGAATTTATCTCTCACACCACATTCTTGCTAACGTTTTCTTACTGTTCCAAAATACAAACTTCCCACTCAAAGTACTCTGCTCATTTCGGGCTTTAAATTTTTGCTTCGGCACTATTCTATGCAGGAAATATATCCTCTCTATCCAAATCCTAATTACATTCCACAGTTTATATGAAATTGACTCAATAAAGACCTTAATCCAAATTGGTTTTGCCTCTAAATTCTTACAGCACTTACTGAACAATCAAGAACTTGCTATCTAATTGAGATCATAAGCTTCTGAATCTCCAGAACCATCTTAAAAATAGTGTGGAATCGAAGCAAAGTAATGCCCTACCATAGTTTTGAGTTCTTTGTAGGTACTTAACCACTACTTCTTGAAGTAATCTGAACTGAACAACAACAAAAAAAAAAACCTATCAAATAAGTGGTGACATTGGAATTGAAACCTCTTTGTACAACTCAAATATAATAATAACCATCATCATCATCATCGTCGTCATCATCAAAGTGATCAACTGAACGAGTAATGGTGGACACTGTTTACCATCCATATAGTCCCTCTGGATAAAATGATTGGGTGCATGGTTAGGTGATAAAACAGACAGGACTAGGTAGATCTCATAAAGGAGCTAGGCAATGAAAAACATTAAAGTGACCATTTGTCCATTTAGCAAATATTCATGTCTACTCAGTCCCTGGCGCTGCTTTGGGTTCTAGTGGTGAACATGACAGACGTGTTGGTGAAGACAGGTGACCCATGCTTTCGGGGTATGTACGCTCTATGGGTAATTCCCGTCTTTATGACATTTTCCAGTACATAAATCAGAAGTGGTTCCTCGGAAATTATTTTCCAGGGCAAAGAAGCCATCGTTCCAGAGGCGGCTGGCCAGTCATCGCCTTACTCTATAAAGGTTCGTGTTTCTTTACACTCAAGTCAGGCCCTCACACTGCGTGACAAATAGCTGGTTCGTGTGCTTGTGTGGGGTTAGGCCCGGATGGCGAGAGTACCCGCTGCCATTTAAAAAAAAAAAAAGAAGAACTGCACGGGGACGGGGCGGCTCACCTGGCCCAGGCTCCACAGTATACGGGCAGGCTATGGGGCATAGACGGGGTCTGGATCCAATGGGCGGAACCCTGGAGGTCAGAGGCTGTCCTCGCAGAGATCTGGACCACGAGGGAGGGAGAAGGCTCCCTCCCACAGGGCTCGGCCCCTCGTGCACGCAGGTGGGCGGGGACCGTGGGGGCACCGGGGCCTGACCGCCACCGGGGCGGAGGTTGGGGAGGACGCACCTCGAGGGCGGGAGGGGGGGGGGACCCCGTGGGACTACACCAAGGGAGGGGGAGGGAAGGGCTCCTTGTGGGCCTGGCCACCACGGGGGCGGGGCCCCACCGGAGCGGGGGCAGGGACGCCGTGGGCCGGATCCCCACGGGCGCAGGGCTCCCCGCGACGCGGACCCGGAGCCACCACAGAGCCGGGCGCCCGCCGAGCCGCTCCACACCCCGCCGCCGCCGCCGGACAGCCGTGGCCGAAAGCTTACCGCGAGGCCGGACCGAGCCCGGCTGTACCGAGGCGGGTCCTCCAAGACCGAGGGCAGAGGGGACTGTGGCACTACTAGGGTGAGCCCCTCAATGAAGGCAGCGGACGGGAAGCGGCCGTTCCTCCTCCACTTCCCGTATCCGGACATGTGACAACCCCCGCGCCGGAAGTTGGCCCTCCAGAGAAGGACGTAGAGGTGGAGAAGATAAAAGGAGCGACCAATAAACGCCGCGGGAGCGTGACCCCCGCCCCCGGTGGGCGTGGCCAACCAGATGGGCGTGGCGCCTAGTCAGCTGAGGCCGATTGGAATGTGGGGATTGGAAGCCCTTCGCTGATAACTTTCTCTAGAAGCATTCCCTCGATAGTCACGGCAATTTAAGGAGTGCATAAAATGATTTTTATTTACACATGCAAAACTCTGTTGACGCTATGTCCTAACGACTTTAAGCTTGGAGACAGGAAGTAAGTTAAATCAGAATCTCTGGGGGTGGGATCAGAGGGCAGTGTTTTGTTTTTGTTTTTTTTAAATATCTTCCCAGATAATTCCTAATATACTCCATGGCAATTCTGACTTCACACTCTATTTCACTTTCACGGACTAGCTGGTTGAGCATCACCTGAGGGCTGTTTAGACAAGGCTGCCTCTCTTCAGAGCACCTGAATCAGAATCTGCATCTTAACGAGAGGATGCTTATATATTTAAACTTGAGAGCCAAATATGATGCTAGTGGTGCTGGTTGCTAGACAAATGTTTCACTTCGTCCACATTCCTAACACTTGTTTTATGCCAGACACTGATTCCAGACACAAAGTTGATTCAAACTTTAATCCAAGCCTGAAGGAGTTCACAGTGTGCTAGCACTGGGCTGGGAAAATTCAAAAGAGGGAGGAACTCACTTTATCTGCTAATCGAGGATTCACTGAGAAAGGGACAAACAAGTTGTTACAGTGTCTTTCATGCTTTATCTGAAGATAAAACTTGGTGGAAAACAATTAACAAAAATAGAGAGGAATTGTTTGTTACTGAGATTAATGTGCACTAGTCAAGGCTAATTGGAATATTACTTATTCACTTTCGTTGAGTTCCTTTTAAGAACTTGAGCTAATCTTATTCTTTCACAGACTCTTTTGATAATTCCTATTTTGTCCCAGAATTCTTACCCTAGATACTTTGTATAGACAATTGTGTATGCTTTTTTCATCCTATTATCTTTTATTTGTCTGTACATTACAGTCTTCATTAAAGTTGGGAAATTAATTACATTTCAGAAGTCTAGACTTCTTTCCTGAGCTCCAGATTTGTGTCTCTGTTCCCCTGCCTCTGACATTTCCATTCCATTCTAATGAATTAATTGCAGGCATCTCAATCTTATGACCAGAAATTTCACTCTCATTCCTCTTCTCCCCTCCTGGTTTTTCTTTCAGCATAATGCATCTCGAATAATTTATTTGGAGATTTGATCCAAGTGAGGAAAAAACAACAGAATGAGGAAATAGGGAGCAAAAATGAAACATGGAAGAAAAATGGACATTTAAGAAGGAGTTATTGAACCAACCCAGATCCCCCTCAGTAGATGACTGGATCAAGAAAATGTGGTATATATGCACAATGGAATTCTATGCCTCCATCAGAAAGAATGACATTGCCCCATCTGTTAGGAAATGGAAAGGCTTGGAAAAAAGCCCAAAGAAACATAGGTTCCATGGTTTCCCTTATTTGCAATATCTAGTATATGTATGAGTCAAGCAGAAAAGGTCAGATAAGGTGATGTTAGGAAAATGAACCCTTGGATATGTATTTAAATGTTTTTTTCTTTCATGCATTTGTTTCTAATGCATTTATAAGATTATTTCTTTGTTGCTTTGTATGTCCCTCCCCCACAGTATAACCCCTGCTTTCACTATATTTGATGTCGGTACAATTTGTGGAGGAGAAAGGGAAAAACAAGTCGTTTAAGGATAACTGTGGACCCGTTACAACAATGAGAAGTACAAGTTGTCATGTCGAAAACGAACTTTACAACTTTGGTGGCGGAGGGGGGGGGAGAATGGGGTGGGGAGGCGGGGGAAGGCTGGGAAGGGATGTGAAGGCTAAACAAAGGAGGAGGCTGCAATGCTTGATAAGAAATGTACTTGTTATCTTGCCCATGTAATTGTAACCCCTCTGTGCAGTATGTTCACAATAAAAAATAAAAATTAAAAAAAGGAGTTATTGAATTGATCGCCCCATGTTTAAATATTTTCTAAATCCCTAAGGACTTCCTAGGGAGCTTTGGGAAATCAGTCTTAGAACTGCCTGCTGCAAGCAAGACTGGAAGAAACATTTATATGTTGGCAACTGTTTCCTTTCATCAAAGATAGGGGGTTACCTAATCAACACTCCCAAATTGCACAATTATGAACACCAGGTTCACACTCACACTCACAGATATAGTAAGGCAGGAATTGAAGGGAGAGTTGTTACCGTGTTGTACTTGCTCAAACCTTGTCAGACTCTTTTCAGAACAGTGCTGCAGCAGTGGTTGAAATAAGAGTTATTTAAAGGGATTTGATGTGTTAACATACAGCATGCAGAAAGCACAAAGGTGTCTGCTGCAGCCCATTCCTTCCATGCATCACTCTGACCTTCTCATGCCCTTCATTCAGTTCAGTCCTTCACACAGGTTGCTTCAAGGTGATGGGCAGCCACAATCTCTGTAAGCAATTAATATGAGAGTTAGTGAAATAAGCTTTAGCTCCTATGGTACACTTGTATTAATGCCTTCCTCCACCACTCATTCTAATTTCCTTCTTCCTTGGCCAGAGCATCAGCTGATTTAAATTTTTTCTATGGTTAGGTAACCAGAGCCTTCAATTTAGACTGCTCTAGTTGCCTGTTCAACAAGGAACAGATCTGGATAAACCCCAGTGAATTCCTTTGATTCAGACATATTCCTATGTACGGCTATTGTGTGGCAACAATCTCAGATCCTTTTGCTAATCACAGTTGACTCCCACAAGCATCACAGCTCTTTTCTTTGCCATGAGAAGCCCAAAGTAACTAAATAACAGTGATAGTTTCAAGTTCAGTAAACTCTGTGTATCCTTGGGGAAGCACCCCCTACTCAACCCTTAGGAAACAACTATTGCAATCTAAAGGTCTAAATTCCAAAGGCAGGAATTACAAATTTTACAAGTGGATTATTTGGAGTGATAAGATGGGCCTATCCTGTTCTCATTCCTGGGTTCCTAAGCCTTGAATTGTTGGGAACACAATTGGCTCAGTGTATTTGTCACATCCTCTAGGAAAACACCTCAGTCCCAAGAGGGCACAGAGGCCAAGTCTGTAACAGGCCATTTCACCAATTTATAAGGCCAGCTGCATTTGAGTGATGAGAGTGGTCATTGAGGGATATAGTGAAATCAATGGATTTCATGGTTGTGAAATTTGTATTTTAGGTATTTTATGCCACTTTGTGGGTGGTGGGTGGGAAGGAGAAGCTGTAAATTTTGGTTAAAGAATGGTCAATCAAGAACACTGAAATTAGTTGGGTGCTGGTGGCTCATACTTATAATCTTAGCTACTCAAGAAGGTGAGACCTTAGACTCATTAATTGAAGCCAGCTGGGGAGGAAAAGTCCTTGAAGGCTCCATTTCTAGTTAACAAGATTGGTGTGTGTGTGTGTGTGTGTGTGTGTGTGTGTGTGTGTGTGTGTGTGTGTGTAGGAGGGGGTCCCAGGTGGTAGAGTGCCATCTGTGGATGGGCAAAGAAAACTCAAGTGATAACTCAAGATCCTGAATTCAGGCCAAGGTACACACACACACACACACACACACACAGACAGACACACACACACACACACACACACACGATCTGTGGGCAAAGAAAACTCAAGTGATAACTCAAGATCCTGAATTCAGGCCAAGGTATACACACACACACACACACACACACACACACACACACACGAATACTATAATTCAGCCAGGCATGATGGCTCAAGTCTTCTAGCCACTGGAGAAATCTAATGATTGCAGTTCAAAGATGGCAAATAAGTAAAATAAAAACAAAAAAGTTTGAAAGACTCTGTCTCAACCAATTGCTGGGCACGGTGGCCCAAGTAGTCATCCCAGCATCACAATGAATCACAAAAAGGAGGATCACAGTCTATGCCAGCAGTACCCAAAAAGGGGCTGTTAGAATAAATCAAGTGGTAATGCACTTTCCTAGCAAATGAAATTTCCCAAGTTCAAATTCTAGAACCATCATAAATGAACATTATAAAATACTATAGCCAGGCACTGGTGGCTCATGCTTATAATCCTAGCTACTCAGGGGGCTGAGATCTAAGTATGGCAGTTCAAAGCTGGCCCAGGTAGGAAAGTCCATGAGACTCTTATCTCCAGCTAACCACTAGAAAACTGGAAGTGGTGCTGTGGCTCAAAGTGGTAAAGCAAGCACTATCCTTGAGCAAAAGAAGTCAGTGACAGTGCCCAGGCCCTGAATTCAAGCCCCATGACTGACAAAAAAAATACTATAATTCTGTTGATTCACTATAAACAAGACTCACTATAAACAAGAAAGGCAAATCTCAAGTCTTGTAAATATTTCCATTTCAGGGTACTTCTTCCTCTCTATAAAGTGGCCAATAAGTTGTGCTTCTCCAAGCTCTGCTGACTGGAAAGATTCCTTTATGGAGTATTCTTCCCTAGTCCATTCCATGTGCAATCCAATGTTACTTACCCAGCAATATGACATTGCCAACCCAATGTTGCACAATCCAATGTTACTTACCCAGCAATATGACATTGCCAACCCATGTGTGAGCCAGTCCCACATGTTTTCTTCTGTACTTTGTATGGCCATAGGGGTGAGTTGAGGAAGAGTAAAAGTAAGTGCTGGTGGAGTCTGAGTTACCCTTCTATGTGATTTACTTGTCTTCTAGGCCTGCTCAGGCTTGAACTTATGCACTAACACACTTCAATAGATTGTTTCTGAGCCTATGCCTTGCTGGAACTGATGATATACAGCTCGTAACCGATATCTGTGGTTTTCCCAATGGAGAACTGTTCTCTTCCTTAGAATGCACAGCCTTGCAGAACAGTAGGGACCATGTACTAGAAATTTGACACAGCATTCTTATCCATCAAGACTTGTTCAAGCATCTTTAGATCTTCTGGAACAAATGGACTGATAGTAGGGTAACTGGCATGCCTATCCTTCTGGACAACATATGTAAGTGATGGGGACTTAATAATTTCACATTCTTCCAACATCCTTCCTTCTGGGAATACCGTCTAGTGATGGTTCTTGACTCTCACATAATAAATCTATTCTAATATTCCTGCATACCTCAGCCTTCTGGTTCCCAGTACTTATTCTAGATTGTTCTGGCACCTTCATCCCCATTTAGCACATAATTATGTCCAGTTTTTAAGAAGACACTAAAGCTGTGTTTTAGGACTTCTTCCACCTGTCCTTGCCAAAATAGAAAACCATAGCTTGACTCGATGCCTATATTTGCCCTTGTCCAGCCTTTTAATCTATTCCTTTGGCCTAACACTTGTAAGTATTTATTCTTACAATACTTCCATTTTTCTTATTAGTACACATTACAGTAATTTTTGCAATTTCTTTTGAGTTAGTTTAGCCAAGTGCTACTCAATAGGGTGTTTTTTTTACTCCCATGGGAACATTAGTAAAGTGTGGAGACACTTCAGCTGTCATTACTGAAAGGGTTCTGATGGTATCGATACTGTTAAACAACCAGTAACACACACCCAGTTCCTCCACAACAAAGAATCTGTAGTCCAAAATGCCAGATATGCTAAAGGTGAGAACCACTGATCTAGTTCTCTCTAGAGCAGAGATGGCAATTCCCCACATCAGCTGTACTATGATCCTGGGGTTGAGGTGAGAAGGACGGAGTGTAATAGGGAGGAATAGTGATGAAAACAAAGTCACATTAAGATGCATTTCCTTTGATATATTCTTTTCAGCATTTCCACTCCAGGAAAGCTGCTTTCCACTACCAAGAGGAAAGAGACTGTTGGGAACAGAGGATGAAAACAAATCTGGAGTCTTAAAAGCCATATAATTGACCCTATTCTAGATTTCAAGTCTTCTCATCCATGAACCCAGGATCGCTTTCCTTATCTCTAGTTTTTTTAAAAAAAAGTACTTCCTTACACTTTTTAGAAGTATCCAAATTGAGTCAACACCATGCAAAGTTACAATAAAATTCAAGAGCAAAAACGTTCCAAATGAATGATTGCGTTAAAACATATTTCATTATAATTCACAAAGCATAATTTTATTTCCATCTAAATGATAGCCACTGATGAAAGACAAAAAAAGTTGACTCTCAAGATTTATTTGAGGAAACATTTTCTGGAGCATTGATGAAATAATGCACGATACATCTTTAAAGTGGCAGGGGACAAAGGGACAGACACACAAGATTGAAAGCATAAAAGCATATTCTCATGAGAACCAAGCAATCCTTGTTATTGGAGGACCAAATGGAATCATCATTAATGTAAGTAGAATCAAAATTCACAATCTGTAAGTCCTTCTTGAGATATGCATGATTCAGCTTATTTACAGTTCGAGCAAATGCGTACTTAGAAGCACAACTATATGCTTCCAAGCAGTACACTTTCTTGAAGTGCAGGTCAAAAAATGGATTGTCCTAGAAGAGAAGGAGAAACATGATTTAATTAGCATCCATGAAAGTCGTTTCCTGGATTCTCTCATATTATCTTGGGTATATTTATTGATTATAAATTATCAGTATCAAACATAGCTTTGAAAACTACAGATTAACTTTCCAAACTACTAGATCCAATTATAGTTGCCACTAAGAAATTAACAATATACTAAAAAAAGAGAAAAAATAACAATATAAAAGATCATTGCTTAAATTATTTTTAATTAGTGGTTTTAGCTTATAGCTATTTGAAATGAGCATATATGTATTTTATATTAAATCTTTTTTTTTCTTTAGGATCTGAGCCTATATGCATACCATACAAACAGCAAAATTTCTGGCTTTGTAAATAACTTTTTAAAAAGCACACACATGTCCTCAAAACAATTTTATGCATTGAAATTCTCTTCCCCTTCAATTCAGATGCTCTGACCATCCTTCTTTATCTCGATTGTCAATTTTCTGGAGTTTTTTCATACCTTTTCCTACTGTGCCTGCCCTTTTCCTTTATTTTTACTTTTAAAAGATGTGTCCATAGCTAGATTTCAGCGTACTCACCTTTTTTTTTTTTGTGGGTGGATGTGATGCTTGAACTTAGGACCTGAGTGCTGTTGCTGAGCTTTTTTCTTTTTTAAAAATTTATTGTTATTGTTAAGGTGTTGTACAGAAAACATACCATTTCTAAATTTTTATTTATTCATTTTAAATTACTCTTTTATTATCCTTAAATTATTGTAAAACGGGGTTACTATTCATCAAATCAGTTTGTAAGTCCATATTTGCGAAGCATCTGTGTCTTCAATTATAAAAATAAAACATGTTACATACATAACATGTATGGCTATCAAAGTGGATTTGAGAGGATAGATAGGGATGGCAGAAGACAATAAACTCATTTACAAACTTCTGAGGGGAGAAGAGATTTCTCTCTGCCTTTGCTAGGAGAATGATTCTTTGTGCTATTTCAAAAGTAAAAGAGGAAAGTACAGCATGACTAGTTAGTTTTTTTGTTATTAGCATATAACATGTAAATTTCATATACAAACAACTTGGCTTTTGCAATTTCTCTTTCAAATAAAATTCTCAGGAGGCAGGGAAAATATCATATAATCATTTGATTCTTAAAGAAAAGAATGAATGCAAAATTTGTAACATCCAGAGTAACTATTATAAAAGTGCTGGTCTGGACCAGGCACTGGTGGCTCATGCCTGCAATCTTAGCTTCTCAGGAGGCTGAGATCTGAGGATCACGGTCCGAAGCCAGCTGGAGCAGAAAAGTCTCCATGAGACTCTTATCTCCAATTAACTGCTCAAAAAAAAAAAAAACAACAAGCAAAAACCCCCCAAACTCCAAAACCAAAACCAAACCAAAACAACAACAACAGAAGAAAAAATAAACCAACAGAAGTGTTACTGTGGCTCAAAGTGGTAGATCATTAGCCTTGAGCAAAAAGAGCCCCCAGGTCCTGACTTCAAGCCCCATGACCACCACAACTACCAACAAAAAAGTGATGGTCTGTTTCATATATCATGCATATAGACTATACACATACACAAACAAGTGTGTGCCTTTGTACTAACATTTAAGATTTAGGTTCAATGATATGATAGATATACCAAATTGGCATACTATTTAGGGAAGCTTCTTTAAGCACTTATTTAAATAATGAACAATTGTGTTCTGAAGTATTCTTCGGGAAACATATTTTGTATTGACCATATATGCTAATATGTATATAATAATATGTTTAACCCATTCCTAAGTGTCTAACTTTGGGGAAAATAAATTGTCAGAAAAATATTATGTGAGTACTTAGAAACAAAGTAATGCCATCTACCATTCTCTGATCAAGATGCCCTGAAGATGCATCAAGTTTTAAATACAGAATTCCTAGATGATAGATTATAAAAGAAAGTATATACTGATTTTATTAAGGGAAAATTAAGATTAGATGATTAACCAGGTGTGATGCACTCCTAAAATGCTTCCACTTGGGAGACTGAGGCAGGATGATTAAAAGTTCAAGAAGACTTTGTTTCAATAAAAGAACCAAACAGAAACAAAACAGAACAAAACAAGTTCCAGGCTAGCTTTGATCCTTTCTTGAAAAAGAAAAAGGTTAAGTGATGATTAATCAAGGCAGAATTAAGCATTTGAGGTGAATTCTCCACTGTGCCCTCAGAGTCTAGTAAGGCCTGGAATATTATGCATCCTTAATAAGTAGCTGAATGAATAAACAAATAGGGTAGTTTCTGGAGGCAAAATAACCTAAAGAGGACAAATGAATGAATTTCTTATTATAGTCTGGCTCTACCACTGAATAGCTAGGTGACTTTGAGCAAGTCAACTAGTCTTTTTAAGTCTCTTTACCCTCTTGCAAAATAGTACCAGTATTAGAATCTTATTCATGGAATTTTATGAGGGTGTTTGAATTTTCAAATGAGAGGAGCTTAGCTTGGTTCCTGACACCTTGTATGAATTTACTAAGTGTGGGGAATGATAGCTATCGATTCCTTAGAGCACTTGGCCCGACCTGCTTTGTCATTGTATTCTTGACTTGGTAAAGCTTTAAATGTTGTATTAATTAATTAATTAATGGGGCTTGAATTCTGGGCCTGGGCGCTGTCCCTCAGCTCTTCAGCTCAAGGCCAGCACTCTACCTCTTGAGCCACAGCGCCACTTCCAGTTTTCTAGTGGTTTATTGGAGATCAGAGTCTCACGGACTTTTCTGTCTGAGCTGGCTTTGAACTCTGATCCTCAGATCTCAGCCTCCTGAGTAGCTAGGATTACAGGCGTGAGCCACAGGCGCCCGGCTGTATTTATTAAATTTCTATCAGACTACAGTGATAGCAACCCCCCAAATATCTGAAGAGTTGATGTGTTGAAATAATAGGTCAAATTAATATTAGTTATTAGAATAAAGAATAAATGAATTTCATTTCTAATGAATTCAATGATAACATCACAAATATTTAGTGAGTGTGTAATATCTATCAGGCAGAAGTCAATTAAATGATTAAAAAAATGGTCCTAATGTTTGAGGAGCTTCCAATCTAAAGGGGAGATAGGGTGACCCAACCACTGTAGTTTGTAGGGTTATGGCTAAAATACATTGACATCCAGGACAAAAGAATATATGGGATGGGGAATCATAAGGACTTTACCCAATGTGAAATCTGGTTTGGGGGTATAAGATGAGGGTGTTGGGAATTCTCAGCCTTGAGAATTTATCCTTAACTAAGCATTGTTGACATACAAAATTCAAAGCGGGAGTGATGAACTCTCCATCAATGGAAGAACTGAAGAACAAAACTGGGAAAACCACTAGTTAAGGAGTCAAGTGGGGGAGATTTGAATACCTATGCTTCTGTCCTTTTAGCTCTAAGATTGTAGGATGCCCAAGTAATTCAACCCTTCTGGAAGATAAAGTGGGCTTGCCAACAGAGGCTTTGAATCCCATAATTCACAGAGGAAATTGAGATGAGAGAGAAAGAGACAGAGAGAAAGACAGAGAGGCAGAGAAAACATCCTACGTTTGGAAAAATGACATTTAATATTTCAGGATTGACTGGTAGATTACATTTTAGCCTATTAAAAGGAACTTGGGAAAGATGCTTTTCAATTTAATAGACAAAATTCCAATTCAAACCTCATAAAAGCAGAACAACAAAAAGCCAGTATATCATTGCAGGAAATTAATCCATACCATGTAAGAACAATATGATGTCACCTTCACACTCAGTATATGCAAAGAAGACGTAAAGCAGGATATTGGATATAAAGATCTCCAGCACATTGATTCTACATCTCCCTTATAAAGGGTCAACACTTACCGTGTCTGCCTCTTTCCCATCAATCATCTGCAGATCATTCAAAGACCACTTTTTTGTTACTTCATATTTTTCATCTAAACCTATTCTGTAGTGTTTCACCATAATTATTTTTACTTCTTCACTTTTGGTCACTGTAGAACAGAAAAAAGTATTTCATTTATAAAAAACTCTTAAGAGAGGACAACTTAGTTCACTTGCACTGTTCAGTGTTTATGTAATTTTTTTAAAGAATGACTTTGAATCCAAATTATAGCTGTACCCCAAATTTGAGTCCTAGTGTATCTGAACCTTTGTGTCGCATCTCCAAATTTGCTCAACATTATTTTTATTTTTCTGCTACAATGGTGTTTGTACTGCCACAGTGATGGCTGTTCAATAGAGCACTGAGAGATGTGATTTGAACTTCGAGTGGATGGAGAAGAGTCAACCTGGAGCCTAGCATATAGTCAAAAATCAAAGTATTTACTAAAGACAGGTGCTGGTGGCTCATGCCTGTAATCCTATCTGTTCAGGAGGCTGAGATCTGAGGATTTTGATTTGCAGGAAAGTCTGTGAGACTCTTATCTCCACTAAACTACCAAAAAAGCCAGAAGTAGAGCTGTGATTTAAGCGGTAGAACATTAGCTTTGAGCGAAAGAAACTCAGGGACAGTGCCCAGGTCCTGAGTTTATGCCCCAGAACCAGCACACACCCAAAAGTGATTTACCAGAACAAGTTGTGATTTCAACTTATGACAGTTTAAGAATGTAAGGGGGAAAAAAAACAAAGCATTTTGCTCACATCCCAGAACTGAAGGGCAGCTAAACAGGACTGTGGGACTCTGATACCTTCATCTAAACAAGGATGTAGAGGTATCTGCACACCGCTACTATTGCCCCATTTGGTGGTGTTTGGGACTTTTCAATTCTCTTAAATGTGTCTCTCAAACTATAGCATTTAACACAAGTGGCCAGCACAGAAGGTTTTAGTTCTTGGAAAGACGTGGGGTGAATCTTTGCTTATTTATGTGAACAAAATGAGGGAAGTAATTTATTTCTGAAGTCATTTGTTTTTGATCTCACACAGACATCAGAAGAACCAATATCTGAGCATAGAGGTTCTACAATAGAAACTATCAATCACTGGGTTAAGAAAAGAATATGTAATGAGTATTTTCTATTTGATTACTAGATTATAGATGCCACAGGAAAGATAGATCAAGATATGGTCCCTGCCTTCTAGAGATTGATGGTCTTGTTAAGGAGATCAGTTCTACCACATGATCACATATACGAGTATATTTTAAAACAGATGGGGATAGATGGTTTAAATTTACTTTCAGGATGGATAGTGTCACCAGGCATGGTAGCTCATGGCCAAAATCACAGCTACACAGTAGGTAGAGATAAGAAGGAATACAGTTTGAGATCAACCTGGGCAAAAAAAAAAAAATTAGCGAGACTCCATATCAACAAATAAGTGGGGCATGGTAGCACACACCTGTTATCCCAGTCATTCAGGAGGTTGTATTAAGATGAACACAGTCTAACATGGGCCCTGGGCGAAAACTCAAGGTATTATCTGGAAAGTTACTTAAATGAAAAAGAGCTACAGGAATAAGAATAATTAAACCCACGAAAAACTGTTCACAAGTTATGTAAATATCATAATCCCTGCAGTTAACCTAGGCTAATAATCAAGGGACAGAGCCATGGCTCAGGTAGTGGAAGAGCTGGCCTAGCCAGAAGGAGGCTCTCAGTTCAAACCCTAGTACTGAAAAAAAGGAAGTAAAAAAAAAAAGTTGGAATAAGTTGTAGCTTCTAAGAGTTAGATTGGAATTTATTTGAGGGAAAGTTGTTTTTGTTTTCTGTTTTGTCAGCTGTGGGGCTTGAATTCAGGGCCTGGGCACGGTCCCTGAGTTCTTTTGCTCAAGGCTAACTCTCTACCACTTTGAGCCACAGCTCCACTTCCAGTTTTTTGGAGATTAATTGGAGATAGAGTCTCACAGACTTTCTTGACCACACTGGCTTTGAACCTTGGTCCCCAGATCTCAGCCTCCTGAATAGCTAGGATTACAGGCATGAGCCACCAGTGCCCGGCAAGGGAAAGATTTCTTTTGGTTCTGGGAGGCACCGGTTTGAAATGCTGCTGTAGTATGAATATGTCCCCGGGGTTGCTGTGTTGGTAACTGAATCCCCAATGCCGTGACGTTGATGATGGGGTCACAGCTCCTTCATGCACATGGGTGACTGCAGTCATCACAGAAGTGGACAGCCGCTGTGGGAACGGATTCGGATTAAAGAATGAGTCTGTCTACCTTTCCATTCCTCTCCAAGCCCTTTCAGCCATGCGATAACACAGCAAGTACCCCTTCCAAACCTTGGACTTCCCAGCCTCCGGAACTGTAAGAAACAAACCTCTGGCCTTTATAAATTACCCAGTCTCGTGTCTTCTGTTACAGCAGTGTGGGACAAGACCCATGTCCTTCTGATTCCGTAGCTACTACACAACGCAACACAACACAGTCTTAGTGGCAGCTAAGTGCAGTGCAGCAGACCTCCTCTGTGGAAAGGCAGAGGACACAGCACGGGGAAGTCTCAACGCCAGCGCAGATGGGACTAGGATCAGGTGAGTAATAGGGTAACAGAGAGGCTTGGGGAAATGCTCTGAAAGGCTCTGGAGCTGAAGGCCCCTTCTTCGGGCTGGGGAGGCTGGCCTGGATATTTTTGGCTCCAGAATCTGGGAACCATTTGGACTGTGACGCTCCTCTGAAGGTGCAGGTGACTCCGAAATCAAGGAGACCATCTGAGCTCAGACTTGCTGATGGAGCTGGGCTTGGGGCCTTCTGGAGAAGTGAGTCAGAGCTGGCCGACAAGTCTAAGACAAGGCCTCGAGTCACACGTTCTGTGGACATTCGTACAACACAATACCCATTCAATAGGGGCCTTCCTCTTGGAGCTGGGGACTACCCTTAAAAAAGAGTGATGTGGGGAGGCTGGGAAGGGATGGGAAGAGTAAAAATAGGAGGAGGCTGCAATGCTTGGTAAGAAATGTACGCATTATCCTGCCCATGCAATTGTAACCCCTCTGTACAGTATGTTCACAAATAAAATAAAATTAAATTTAAAAAAAGAGTGATGTATAAGATCTATTACAGAAGAAAAGAAAGAAGAACTGGGAACTCTGAAGGGTACAGCGTGATTTGTCTGGATTGTGCATCGGTTTCCTGGGTTAGGTAAGAGTTAAAAAATAAAAGAAAAGAAATAAGAAGACGGGAGGCCAAATGCTATGCCTTAGGTCACGTGGTCCAGAGGTTTGGGAGAGGAGGGATGACATCTTTTGAGGATGGAGGGACTGAGGGTTGTGTTTGGAGAGGACCTCCGCAGATCTTAGCCTGGAGGTCAGTGGATGGCTGCGATCCCTCCTGATTGGGTGCAGAGTGAATGATCTCTTCTTGTATATTTCTCTAACCCTAAAATGGGTCCCTCTTCCTGGGTCTAGAGGCCAGTTTTGGGAAGAGGTGAGGACTAGAAAAGAAGCTGTTAGGCAGAAGTGTGGAAGTGTAGGGGTAACTGAGCTCATCACACTTGCAAAGGATAAGTTATTGGCAGTGGTTCCTTCCAGCAAGAGGCAGTTGGGTCCATGCAGACCAAAGCTCTACCTTAGAACCAAAGGATTCTGCTCTTGTTCAGCTGGAGATCTCGCTGGAAGAGGGATAAGGAGAGATAGAGAAATAACTGGCGACTGTATGAAAATGTAGCCTGCCTTATTTACATGTTATGAGAACCAGCTGATTGACTGGAGAGTTTCTTACTCGATTCATTAAGTCCATAAATATTTGAGTGCTCTTTCTGTACCAAGTATAATGCTAGGAATTGAAATAATTTGTTCTCATCAGACGTTATTCCTGTTCTCACTGAGAGGGAGTGATGGGTGACAAGAGAAAGAAAGCATGCTCAAATAAGGCATGGACAGGGAAAGGGAGAAGCAGAAAAGATGGATGGCTTCAGCTGACTGAGCAGCAGGAAGTGCTCCCTGAGCGGGGACTCAGTTGTAAAAGACAGTGGAACTCAGGAGAATGAAGGTAAAGAGAGTTCTAGGACAACAAATAAGAAATACGCATCACTTGTGAGTCACTGCAAGAACTTGGTATTATTGACATACAATGCCGGGGAAGACAGGTGGTGGGAAGCAAGTTAGACAGGAGGTTAGTCCCTCTTATCTGGAATAGTGAGCTAAGGAGTTCATATGTTGTTTTGAAAGCTGAGAGCTGAACAAAGAGAAGTGTCACTGAAGAATTTTAAGCAAATGGACAGGGTGTGATTTAAATTGTAGATAATAAATTGGAAAATTAAAATTTAAAATTAATTAATTAATTTTTTATTAATTAAAATTAATTAATTTTTGTCTGTCATGGGGCTTGAACTCTGGGTCTGGGTGCTGTCCCTTAGCTCTTCAGCTCAAGGTGAGTACTCTACCACTTGAGCCACAGCACCACTTCCAGTTTTCGGGTGGTTCATTGGAGATAAGAGTTTCACAGACTTTCCTTTCCTGGGCTGGCTTTGAACCATGATCCTCAGATCTCAGCCCCCTGAGTAGCTAGGATTACAGACAGGAGCCACCAGCACCCGGCACATGAAGAATAGTTTGAAGGCCTGGGGGGAGTGGAAGGTGGGGAGAATGCTCCCACCCATTGACTTCCTTACATTAATAATCGACGTTCCACCAGCACCAACCTAAGAAAATACAAGCCCCTGCTTTCAAAGCTTGCCTTTGATGAAATTCAGAGTGAGAACACCCTTCTTAATCTGCCAGAATAGCCTCTTCTAGAGCCAGGGAGGCTCCAAGAATTCCCTTTAGCTGGGAGCCAAAGAAATCTGCTCAGTCTGGATTTGACCCAGTCCCTAATTCCCACACTTGAGCTTTGCAGCCAGCTGAAATTAAATGGCCACCTCCACATTAACACAGCAGCACAACGCTTTCAGACAGAAATGTGTTTATCCAGTGAAAATGTGAGAGAACGGATTGCTCTAACGTTCGTGACACAATTATGGTGTAGGGAGAAATATCCTTGGACCTAGGGAACTTCAAAATGAGCTCGCTGCAGTTTCAATATTTCACCCAGCACTTTCAGAGGTCCAGTCTTAACTTC